TGAATTCAGTCCATCTCCAAGAGTCTTCATACTCTTAAAAGTTCCAGCATTGCTTAAATCCAAGTCCAAAGTCTCTGAAACTCAAGATAAATTCTGAGCTGTGAGACTTTGTTAAAATCACAAGAACAAGTTACATACTTCCTGCATGCAGTAGTGGGACAGGGTGCACATTCCCATCCCAAAAGGGATAGGAAACTAGCAAGAAGCAATCAGCAAAACAAGATTGACACGGAGCGTGACAGGTACTAAATTCTATAGCTCCATGTCCAGCACCTGGGGCACAAGCTGGCGTGACGTGAACTCCAAAGGCCAGTCCTGCCCCTTACACATCCCACAGTCGCTCCCTTGAGCTGACTCGGCTACCGTGGCTGCCCTCCGTGGATCTTCATATTCCTGGCGTCTCTAACTTCTTGGGTTTTGGTAGTGTTTTGACTTAACTAACACAGCTTCAGCATTGTTTTTTTTCAAGGACTGACTGCAGGGAATCTGCTTCTGTCACATGCCACTGGGCTTCCCAGACTTTCCTTTGAAAGTTCCGTGACCCTGTAACTCCTGTATTCTGCATGACTAAGAAAATAGCATCACATGGGTGATACCACAATCTACTGCCACCTCAAATAGGAGCTGGATATCCTTGGACAGTGACTGTAGCACCCTCTGAGTGCTTGAGTGGCCAATCACGGGGAATCAATTTCCTAGGCAGTCTTGTGTGATCAGAGCACCCGAACACTGTGTTTTCAAAGCAGTCTTTCAAACTAGATTAGGAGTTTATACTCTTAAGTGTGTGATAGGTGGGATCTGACCGATACCTGAGACATCCTGTTCTAGTTCAAAGAATTTGGCTTCTTTTGAGTGTACTAATCTCTTTAAAAGCCAGTCCTTCTTAGCTGGATGTACTTCTTTTTCTGACCAAACTACAACTTTTTCAAATCTTGATGCTTTGTGGGCTTTGTAAAAAATTTATTATTTTCATTGTAAATTTAGCTAAAAGCAGCCAGCAATACCCATGCCACATCCTGAATGCTGTGCTGCCTTGAAAATCCTCCTGCTGGATAAACTAGTTCATCATCTTTAAATTCAGCATCACAGTATCAGACTATGACAAAACGTAGACAAGTTCTCTGTCAGAACAGAACATGAACGACTTCTAGTTCAATTCCCAGTAAAGTCCTGCTCTCATCTTAGAGCTCGTGGCATAGTCTTTCCTGTCTGCATGTCTGGTCATCTGGGCTCACTGTGGTTACAACTTCTTTCTAGTTTGCTCCTCCAACCTTTGCCAAACTCCTCCAACAAACAATTCCAATGGAATGGACCACATGGTTAGGAATGTCCAGTCACAATGATGACCAACCTTCTGCACCAATTTTTCTATGTTAATTTTTCATTGTTCAGTTGTTGTGATCTGAAAAAAAAACCACTGATAGAGGAAAAGATTAATCTTGCTCAGCTTTGTAGGTTTCAGTCTTTGGTTAGCTGGCTCCATTGCTATTAGGCTTCCGGTGTCTCAGAAAAACTGTGGTAGGAGGAAACAGGAAAAATCCTCTGGCACAGCAGCCAAGAAGCAGAGAGAGAGGAGAAGGCCAGAGAGGGTCTCCATGCCTTCCTCTTGCAAAGGTTGAGGATGCTTACAAAGTGAGAATATTTGACTCACTGCTGAGTTGCTTCTTTAAACTTCTAAAGCTCCTAAGTTAACACAATGTCAAGACAGAATTTGGTACCAGAAACGTGGGGTCATTGCTGTGATGCAACCCGACCATGTGGTCCAAGAGTCTTTGGGAGTGTCTTGTAGGAAGAGTTTAGAAAGGTTCAGAGATGTCTCCTGAAAGAGAAGAACACTTTAGGTTGTTCTGTATGAGAGATTCTGGTCAGAGCTCAGAAGGTCAGAACAGTGATAGAAATCCTGCAGTAAAGACCAGGGCCAGGAGGTTTCTGCTGGACTCCAGATGATGTGTGTTGTGACTTGACAAAAGTTTTTGTGTATTTTGCTCCTGTCCAGAGACTTTGCATAAGGCTGAGATTAAGGACACTGGATCAATTAATATGACAGAAGAAATTTCAAGGCAGTCTAATGTTGAGGCTGTGGCATGGCTATTGTTGGAGGCTTTTAGTCAGATCTATGTAGAAAATCAAGAGCAAAGAGCCCAGCAGAATGATTTAAAATGTGAGTTTAGCCAAAAAGGAAGCTCCAATAAAGTTGTGAACTACAAAGATAGAGCTGGGAAGATCTCAACTGCTGGAAAGGAATAAGAGAGTAGAAAATATGGTCTGAGGACTTCACAAGAAGCAGCAGGACTCCACCCTTTGCAGCCTCAAAACTGAAAAGTGAAAGGTTTTGCTTTGAGGAGAAAGCTGCAAAATATCTGTTCCAGAATGGTGGTGGTTGCACCACATTCCAGAATGGTGGCAGCATAGAAAATTTGTTCCTCAGAATTGAATTCAAGTACCCAATGATCCAGGTACTCAACCTTTACAGCCAAGAGAGAGGGAAGCTTGTCTACCGATCTAGCTAGCAGCAGATACTGGCATCATTCACTTGCTCCTGGTTTTAGGTCATGAATAATGCAAGAGTTGCGGGGTTAAAAAGACTTCCACCATGATTTCAGAGGGCCTAGGAGCTCAGGCAGCGTGTCACAGTGTAAGTGTGAAGCCAAAGGAGCCGCAGAGACTCCTGAAGTCTGGAAAAGACAGGAACATGGATCATCTAAGGAAATCTGCAAGGAGGAAGCAAAGCCAGACCAAGAGAGAAGCCACAGGAGCTACAATCACCAGCAACGCCTTAGCAGTGGGGTCACTCCAACCCTTAGTAGGAATTGCGCTTAGCTTGCAGTTGTCACCTGCAGTGTCAAGGCTCATTAAGTTTGTAGCTTTCTAACTACAGGAACAGGCTGTGTCTCCCAGTTTTACCCTTGAACAGTATTAGTAATATGCGTAGTATTAGAAATACAAGTTTTAAGCCCTGGGGATTTAGCTCAGCAGCATAAGCACCTGCCTTGCAAGCATACAGTCATGAGTTCGATCCCTGGTACAAAAAAAAAAAAAAGAGGAGTTTTAAAATTTTTAAATTTTCTCTACATTAAAATATCTTCTACACTTTGACTTACTTTGATGGGTTGTATCCTAACATAGCCTTTTTGGACAAATACTCTCCCAGTGTGTCAGGAGGAGTGATGATGATCCCTGCTTGCCTCTAAGGCAAAGTGCCTCCCTTAGAGCAGAGACAAGCAGGAAGCCTGAGGCAAAAGGATCAAAAGTTCCAGCCCAGCCTGGGCAACTTCATGACTTGGTGTATATATGTCTCAAAAATGTGTGTGTGCACACATGTATAAGGCTCTGGATTTAGCTCAGTGTGGAGGCCCTGGGGCAGCCCCCAGTTCTCCAGTACCACAGGAAAAAAGAAAAAAGAAACCTTGAGGTGTAGAGATAGTCAATTCTAGATAAGAGAGGGTTGTTATCTTCTACTACTGAAAAAAATAAAAGTCCCACCTAGCAGCCCAGGGCAGGAAGGGCAGCATATAAAGGCAGCCAGACCAGCGGGTTAGAAAGAACCTCAAGACAAGGCCTTGGGGCGGCTGCTGCATTAAGGTACGTGCCAGGAAGTGCCCAGTGCTTAGCCAGTGACAGACAGGGGCGAGGCTGCTGTTTCAGCGTGGAATTTCTCCATCTACCGGCGCTGGCAGAGCCCACAACCTCTGCAAGCATCTCTGGCTGCCCTCTGGTGGGAGAGAACTCAGCCAGGCCATTCTCTCTGGGGATGCAGGAGAGCCGCAGGGCTCTCATAAGACTGGGAAATGTGATAAGGACAGATCCTTCACTGTGCCTGTGAGTGGAATTCATAGATAGAATATATTTCCTGTTGCTCAGGTCTGCTTCAATGCCTTTGAACAAAGATTATCTGTTTTTTGTTCGTTTGTTTTGCTGCTGGAGAGGGGACCCAGGGCCTTGCATGTGCTAAGCAAGTGGTCTGCTACCGAGCCACACTCCCAGGTCCTGTAATATTTTGCATAACTAAAAAAAATAAAAAAATAAAAAAAATATTTTGCATAACTGAATTCTGAATTGTATCTTTTAGTAGGTATATTTCTTGTAAATCTAATCATTTTCATTTTTAATATAATTAGGCTCATTTTATTTACGATACTTTCAAAGTAGCTATTTCTGGTGTTTAGGAAAACAACTAAAAGAATGAACTAAACATGAATGCTATATCTCTAAAACAAGCAAAATACAAAATGAGAGACAGAATTTATGTTAAGTTAAAAGTGAGTTTGGGCGTGGTAATCCCAGGTACTTGGAAGCCGAGGCAGGAGGATTGCAAGTTCGAGGCCAGTCTGCAATTTAGGAAGACTAAGCAGACACTTAAATACAAAAGTGATGGGGAGTGTAGCTCAGTACTAGAATGCTTGCCTAGCATTGGAGAAGCTCTGGGTTCAATCTCTAGTAGCACAAGAAAAGGAAGAGGAGGAAGGGGAGAAGAGGGAGAGAAAGGAAAGGAAAGGAAAGGAAAGGAAAGGGAAGGAAAGGAGAAAAAGAAGAAAGGGAGACAGTAAACACAACACAATATGTGTAGAGCTGTACAAACGCGAAAGCACAGGGTGGAACCGTTTGGAATAACACGCACCAAAGTGGTTTCAGTGGCCGTCTCTGGTGTCCAGGAACACACTGAGTAGTAAGGAACTTCAGCTTCTCTGTTGTAAAAGAAAAAGAAGGGAAGAAGGAAGGGAGGAAGGGAGAGGGGGGAGAAGGGAGGAGATATTTTTAAGGAGTTTTCTCGTTCGATGTAAGAAGAGAGCACGGAGGACAGAGGGGAGGTCAGGTCTCCTTCACGAGCTCCTTTGACTGTAGCCGCCTCCGTTAGGGCCCTGCCGTTACACAGTCACTTTGAGAATGAGAGCTCCCGTGTGGGAACTTCGGAGGCACAGCAATTCGACCTCTGCCTTTGCCTAGACTTTTAAAAGAAGAGTGTGAAGAAACGAATGTCTCTTCTGTACTTCTTTGACTAGGTCCCTCTGTCTCCATGGATTATACTCCTGAGCCCAACGCGACGACAGTGACGGAGGACTACTATCCAGACCTCTTACCAACCCCCTGTGAAGAGGGACTCAGCACCAGGAACAGCAAGTGGCTGCTCGTCACTATTTACTGCCTCGTGTTTGTCTTCGGTCTTTTGGGAAACAGCCTGGTCATCTTGGTCCTCGTGGTCTGCAAGAAGCTGAGGAGCATCACAGACATCTACCTGCTGAACCTGGCCTTGTCTGACCTGCTTTTTGTCTTCTCCTTGCCCTTCCAAGCCTACTACCAGCAGGACCAGTGGGTATTTGGGACCGTAATGTGCAAAGTGGTCTCTGGCCTTTATTACATTGGCTTCTTCAGCAACATGTTCTTTATCACCCTCATGAGCTTGGACAGGTATCTAGCTATTGTCCACGCTGTGTACTCTGTGAAGGTGAGGACAACCAGGATGGGCACGGGCCTGAGCCTGGCAGTGTGGCTGGCCACTCTTCTGGCCACCAGCCCATTGTTAGTGTTTTACCAGGTGGCCTCTGAAGACGGTTTCCTAAAGTGTTATTCATTTTACAATCATGAGGCTTGGAAGTGGAAGATCTTCACCCACTTTGAAATTAACATCGTGGGCCTGCTGGTTCCATGCACCATCTTTCTGTTCTGCTACGTCAGGATCCTGCGCCAGCTGCAGAATTGCCAGAACCAACAGAAGACCAGAGCCATCATGCTGGTGCTCATCGTGGTGGTGGCGTCTTTGGTCTTCTGGGTCCCGTTCAATGTGGTCCTCTTCCTCACCTCCCTACACAGCCTGCACATTTTGGATGGGTGCAGCACAAGCCAGGGGCTGACATCGGCCACCCACATCACGCAGACCATTTCCTTCGTGCACTGCTGCATGAACCCTGTTATCTACGCTTTTGTGGGCGAGAAGTTCAAGAAACACCTCTCGGAACTATTTCAGAAATGTTTCCACCACATATTTCTCTACATAGGAAGACAGATTCCCAGAGAGAGCTGGGAAAAGTCCTCCTCCTCGCACCAGCGCTCCTCCCATTCCTCCACTGTGGACTGCATCTTGTGAGGAGGCTGTTTCTCCTGGTGCTTCTGTAAGATACACATGACTTTGTTGGAGTCTGGCTAGAGGAAAACGAACTCTCAGCATTTTAGTGACAGATGCAAGGCATGATTTATGATACGTAATGGATTCCTATTACAAATTAATCTCAATTTTCAAAAAGAATGTTATTATATACTCTGTATATTTCACAGTTAAGTATAATGGTAGCAGTAGGGTATTTTTAAAACATAATCTTAGCAGCAGATTAAAGATGTTACCTTCTATTCTTAATTTTCCATGTGTTTTTATCACACATGAATTTAAAGTTTATCAAATTTTTATTGCCCATTAAAATAAATCATAAGGTTTTCTCCCATTACTCTGTTAACTTGATGAACTACAGTGAATGGCTTTTCAATCTATATTTTCCTAGAAAAAACATGACCTTTTGGTCTTGGGATTTTTGTGTTTATGTTCATTAGAGATACTGTCCTGTAATTTTCCTTTATTATAATGTCCTTCTAGGACATTTTGTTCTTCTAAAAATGATTAGAAAAGTCTTCTGTTTTTCTGTATTCTCTGTTTGTGTAAAATATTTGGCATTATTTCCTCTTGGAATGTTCATTACTGAAACTTCAGGAATGGGGCTTCTCTGCAGGAAGAGTTCAAATTATGCATTAAATTTGACAGAGACTTACCCAGAGACTGGTTTTTAATTTCAACACTGAGACTGTTAACCTCAGTTTTGAGCATGATGTCACTCACAGTTTCTTCTTATAGTTTTTTAAATGTATGAGGCTCTCAAGTAATACCTTTTCTGTCTCGATACTGACAATGTGAGTTTTCTTCTGACCCTCCTGGGCTTAGCTGTTTCTTTTGACTATGTTAATTTCCTGACTTTATCTGTTCATTTCTTTTTTATGCTCTTTAGCCTACCTGCTTTCTGTGGACTTAATTAACTAAGATAGTTTTACAGTAACTGCACCCCCTTTTATTTTGTATGTATGTGTGATGTATAATAAACACGCTCCTCACGGGGAGCTGGTCTACGCACACAAGACATCTTAATCTTCCTTACATCTGTTTTCCCTTCTCTTTTTCTCATTCCCTCTCTCCCCCTAGACACTGGTTTAAATGTATATTTTACCCTTCCCCCCCCCCCCACAAATACGATCACTAAGTTACTAAGTTGCCCAGGCTGGGTTTGAACTTTTGATCCTCCTGTCTCATCCTTCCAGAATGCTGGAATTACAGATGTGTGTAACTATGCCTGGATTTCTACATTTTAATGTAATACATTTTCATTATTTTTTTACTGTAATATCTATTTTCCATTGGGTTTTCGGCCTTGAAGCTTGAGTTTTTTAGGTATTAATTTTAAATTTTGAAACATGAGGTCTGCTCTTCTTAGAGAACACACATGTGTGCTTTCAGTTCTTTAAAACTGATTGAGAATTATTTTACAATGCTGGCTGTGGTTTGTTCACTAGGTGCTCCATGCACACTTGAAAATTATGAGTGTATTCTACAGTTGTTGACTATAGCTGATTCATCAAAGTGTTAAAGACTTGTACGTTTTTGGTGACTTTTGCTATTTGTTTATTTTGTGTATTACTAAGAGGTACATTGAAAACTGTCCCTTTAATTGTGGCTTGTCAATTTTTCATTTTAATTCTGTTTATTTTGCTCAGTATGTATTTTGAATCTATTAGATGAAGGAAAATATAGATTACACTTTTTATTGAATTTGATTTTTTTTTAACTTTGTCTATTTGAGACAGGGTCTCACTATGCAGTTCAGGCTGGCCTTGAACCCACTTTGTAGCCAAAGCTGGTCTTGAATTTGCAAGGATCCTCCTATCTCAGACTCCGAGTGCTAGGAATACGGGCATGCACCACCATGCCTGGCTTGTATTTGCTTTTTTAGCGTTATAAAATACTCCTTTACTTTTGCTATACTTCTTGTCCTAAAGTCTACTAACCTTAGCACAGATGTGCCAGCTTTTTTTGTACTAGCGTATGCATTGTTTACTTCAGACCAAAACATTTTCTTATATTTAATGTGTCCTTTTTGTAAGAATGATTTAGTTTGGGCTTTTTATTTTTTCCCACGAAGAAAAGGAGAGAGCTGTATACCAGACATGTTATGGTTTCTGTCTAGATGTACCCAAGAGTTTCCTGACTCAGAGAGGGATTTTTGAGAGATGACCAGATTATGAGGGAGCAATAGCTGACTGGTTATTAGGGGGGTCTGGAAGAAGGGGCAGGTCACTGTCAGGTGTGTCTCCCTTCCTGGCTTCGTGCTTCTCTCTCTGCTTCCTGGTGTTGCAGGAAATTTCCCAAACCAATCCAAAACAAAGCAACCAAAAGGAAGACTTTGCACGGAAGAGCTGAGAAGGGAGCATTTAATCTTACACCAGTGGACTGTTGGATTTTACACCAGTGGACTGTTGCAAGGATAATTCTTCCTAAGCAACTACACTGCATCAAGAAGGAGTTTAGTCTGCACAGAATTAGAAGTGGGAGATACAAGTGAGTGACCAAATGTTTCACGACTGGTTACATGCATTGATTCATATATTGACACACAGGTTAGTCTTGAAACAATAGAAACATTCCAGGAACCAGGGGAGGAGGCTCTCACAGAAATACTATAGTTAAGGGCAATACCATAATATAGGAATATTCAGGAGAGAGGGCCTTTACTGAATGAGCATAGGTCAGCCCAGAGTGCCTTGGTATAGGCAATTACTCTGACTTAGTGCTCATCTGTAGCTGGGCTGTGGACACTGTCAGGGTCAACTGAATTCACCAGCAACAGCAGAATAGCAACTTGGTCGGAGTCCTCTAATTAATCATGAAATTTGTAAGTTTGTTATTTTATACAAGTGTTCTTATAATTGTGCCTCAACACTGGCACCATGAGGTGATTAGTTTTCCTCCACCAGGCCTTTCCACCGAATGTCTTCCTGCCTTGGAATCAGCAGAAGCCTCTAGAATGTGAGCCCAGATAAACTTATCCCCCGTTATGCTGCAGGTGTTGAGTATTTGGTCCCAACAAGGAGGACAGTGATTAAGAGAGTGAGGATACATGGTTTTACAAAGCTCTAAAAATCTCTTTAAAATAAAACACTGTATGGGGTTTCAAGAACTGCTTCCAAAGCCAGACACAGTGGTATGTGCTTGTCGTTCCAAGTACCTGGAGAAGCTGAGGAAGGGGTTTTGCTTGATCCTAAGAATTCAAGTTCAGCCTGGGCAACAGAGGGACCTATGCTTTGAAAATTAATTTCAGAATAATTTTTATTCTCCAGTTTAATGCATAACTTCAATTATAGAGAAGACAATCTGCAAGGATAATGACACATATTTAGGGTAATATTTGTGTTAGTGCTGTAAAGCAGCATCTGAGATAATAAACTTAAAAGAGTTTTGGAGGTCCCAGCCCGTGGTTGGTGGTCCTGTTGATCTGGACTTGTGGTGAGGCAGCACACCATCCTGGGAGCACCTGGTGAAGGGAGCTGCTTATCTCATGGCATCTGGGAAGCACCAAGAGAAGCAGAGGAAGGGGGTGGGTACCTAGTGTCCCATTCAAGGTGTTACAGCTCAATGACCTCATATTTTTCTATAGAGAGCACTTTCCCATCCTTGCTGGGGTCCAGAAAGGTTTGTATTTACAATCCCATGGAGAAGTTACTATTCCAATCTACCACTTCCAGTGTGACCCAAGGAGAGGATTAAGACTTTTTTTTGTCTTTTTCATTTTTTCATTTTTTTATCAGTACCAGGGATTGAACTCACAACCGCCTGCTTGCAAGGCAGGTGCTTATGCTGCTGAGCTAAACCCCCAGCCCCGAGAGAATTAGGACTTTAAGATGTATGTACAGTTATGGGGAGCCAAGAGGTCCTAAGTCCGGCCAAGATGGTGGTTCACCAGAGCAAAGGCCCTAACCCAGAGCCCAGCTGGGTTTTAATAATCCTCCATGAGGGGAGTGCCTTGGAGAGGAGTGACACTCAGAGTGGTGGGAAATACATGGCTGCCATGACTACTGTGAGCTGGGCTGGGCAGGAGGTCTGAGGTCACCTCTGCAACAAGCAGAGGACAAGAAATGCAGAACGAGCAATCTGCATAACACAGCTGAGGTAGTAGCTAATAATTTGGGGTCAGTGCTTCAGGTCTGATGTACAATCCTCTGTGTCCTGGGAAGTGACAGCCTCTTTCTAGATGCTCGGTCCCAGCTGACAATGTGGAGCACGGCTCTCCATCCCGCCACGTATTTGTGGAGTCACTGGGCAGGGTAACACTGACCTGTCACTTTGTTTCAGCCATCACACATCGGCCCCTCAGCCAGCCCAATTTATACTGCTTAAAGCCAACTGAAAGGAAAAGAAATAACCTAGTCAGCTCTGTACATACCAATACTTGGACTAGGCTCAGTTTATTCAAAAGGGTGATAGTTACTCTTTACAAGGAGAGTCAGGAGCATCAGCTGGATAGTTCCCCACACTGTTCCATTATGCTCCACCCCTGAAAGTTTCCACCATCTCCCAATAGTGCCAAGTGGGGGCCAAGTCTTTGGGAAACAATGCAGACTGAAATTTCAGCAATAGTGAAGCTACGTTCCTGGAGAGCAATGCAGTCATTGTGAGAAGGCATTCCAAAAATAGCCTTGTCTTCCAAGGTTTAAACATATGCTTATGATATTCACACAACTTCTGAAAAGCGTGACAAGTTCCCTCCTTTCTTTTGTTCTAAAAACAACGTATTTCTGGATTTTCTGTGAGTTGTTATGTTGACATCAATAAGAGCAAAAGACAAACTCTCCTCATTCCAAATCTCCAGAACCTCAAATACAAATCAAAATCCAACAACGTAGCAATTTCCTTATAGTGTGTGCATTTGTAGAACCTCCATTTTGCTTCCTCCCTCATCAGTGCTTGTGAAATCCTGTTTTCTTGGAGCAATTTCTTTGATTGATGTCAGTAAATGCAAGTAAAACATCTAAGTAGGAGTGAAACATCAAATTCTAAATGCCCAAAGAGTTCTCGGATCATTTGAAGACTCACCCTTCGGAATCTGGTGCATTCCTTTTAATGTTTGGATTCTGGAGGTCTCTTCCCTCACACACTAGCCTACGGATTGTGATCTCAGTTCCAGCATCGGGACCAAGCGTGGTGCTGACAGCTACCTGGCAGGGCAGTGTCAGCTATAACTTCCTGACTCCCACACAGTTCCCCACATGCACCAAGCTAGTGAGCACACATAGCTCAAACCATCTCCTGGACTTGTGGAGAAGCTGGAAAGATACAGTTTCATATCCCAGTCCTTAGAGTCACACACTCACATCATATTCACATATTTGTTTGTACTGCTAGGCACATTTCTATAGCTGTCTGTAAGCAGTACATACACTTAGAGAGGACATCTAAGAGAAGAATGCTGTTACTTGTATTTTTAAAATTCAACCTAATAATATTTGTCTCTTAATTAGAAAGTGTAGACCATTTATGTTCAATGAAAGTATATAAAGGTGGGCATGTTGGTGCAAACCTATGATCTCAGCACTCTGGGGGGTGGAGAGCAGAAGATCTCAAGTTCAAAAGTAAGCTGGGCAATTTAGAGTCTTAATGAGTTCTCATCTAAAAATTAAAGCAATAGAAGGGTGGAATTCTGTTTTAGTTACTCTTTACTCATTGCTGAGACAAAATACCTGATGACCAAAGTTAGGGAAAGAAAGGTTTATTGCTTACAGTTCTTGGAGGATTCAGCCCATACTCCGTTGGCTTCAAGGCAGCGTGCCATGGTGGGGCAGCCATTCATGGCCCCTGCAAACAGCAAGGAGCAAACCAGCAAGAGAGAATGACACACCTTCTCCTGCTGTTACATCTTATCCTGGCTCCAGCTTTAGGTGGATGAAACACTCACATCACCAATACAAGCACTAGACAACCAGCTAATCACAAATGCTAGAGTTGGTCAAGTCCATAAATCATTAGGTTTGGGGGTTGTAGTCAAGGGTTGTACACAGAGAATGACTAGGATTAGGACATGGAATTTATAATATTATTTTTATAATGGTCACTGGAAGTTAACACAGGAAAATGCAGGAAATCTATCCGCAACACCAAAGACATAGATTATTTAGTCAAGAGCCTAAACCCCACAGCAATGTCCCACGTGAGTCCAGATGAAAACCCAGAGCTCATGACAATGCCTCCCATGAGTCCAACTGGAGGTCCAGAGCCCATAAGAAGGACTCACGCCAGTCTCTTTTACGGATCCATGCTGGGAAGTCCCAAAGGTCAGCGGTGGAAGCCAGAAAGTCCATGCCAGCAGGATAAAGGATCTGTGCTAGTGGGATGAGGGTTCTATGCTGGAGCTGAGAAGTCACACTCACAACCAAGACCAGGGCTATCCTGAAGGCACCACAGCTGTCCTCAGTGACAGGGAGGCCCCAAGCTCCTCCTCCGACAAGCACAATTGGGTACGTGCCAAGAAGCAGCATGACGAGTTCATCCTGGAGACCAAGCAGCACATGTCTTCCCGTCCGGAGCCAGGAAGCAATGTGCAATGTGAGGACCAAAGCTTTTCCAGGAGAACCAACAGCTCAGACAGCAACTCGTAGAAGAACCCACAATACCTCCTTAATGCCTCAAACCTCCCTTCTTCTCCACCTATTTATCCTGGCAACCCTCCTCATGTGGCGCATCTTCACTCAGTGCATGCTGATGTAATCCAGCTGGCGTTG